GTATTCGTCAGGAATGTGCGATTTTGCATTGAATGACCTTAACACAACTTTAATTTAAAATAACTTGGAAGTACTTAGACTGCAATCGTTAGCAAATTACCGCAGAAGGATACTCATCAAGATTGGTTTCAAGAAATCTTGGTTCTTCTACTGCTTTCTCGGACTTCTTCTGTTTATCGACTGACCCAAAAGCTCTTCTTAAAACTGACGAACGAATTTCTAAAGGCGATAATCGCTTTTTCTGTGAAGGTGAATCAACTGTACATGGATACACAACAGGTTTAATCTCATCGTTTTCATCTTCTCCACTGCAATCAAAGGTTTTTGAGAGAGCAGAATTTTACTGGCCCAAGTGGATGTCTTGAAGTCAGATTTAGTGGTAAGTAAAAAGCAGACTTGTAATAGTCAGGTTTCCTTAGAGGGTCGGAATCAACAGGAGTTCCAGCTTTGTAAGTCCAACTGGAACGAGCATTAATAGTTGGAGAAGAACTTTTTGTTTCAGTTGGATATGGTAGTCCATCTGCTTTGCTAGAAGAACGTTTTGTAATCTGCTTTTGCACAGCTGATCGAGTAGATCGGTTCTGTAAATAAATTAGTTTACTTTGAAAAGTGGCTTACAAACCCAATTGGCATTAGAATTCTAAATAGCTTATAAAAAATTAAATAGGAAAGTAATTTTAGTTTTCAAGTCTGCAGTACAAAAAAAGTGAAAAAAAAAGTTATTCCACATGAAAGAAGTTACCTGCACAAGTTCTGGCCTTTCATCTTCCTGCTGGTTCTGTCGTGAATCCTCTACAGACGAATTGTAACGCGTTGCTAAGGTTACCAGTGGTGATTTTTGACTTCCAGGAGTATAAGCTGGTGGAGGGCTGCTTTTAACATGAGTATAGTGTAAACTGGCTTCCGGTTCGCTTGATGACTTACTTGCTAAAGCTTCCGGCGCAACGTCATTTATTATTGTCCCCTGCAGTGTTTGCGGTCTTGCAATTGAACTTTCGACCCCTAAATTTAGTTCTATCTGTTGCATCAGGGAAAATTTTTTTGAAAATATTTATTACTTTTTAAAATAGCTGAGTAAAATTGCGTTATTTT